TATAAATATGATAGTTAACTTTTCTTAGATAAGGTAGCATTTATCTATAGTACTTTGAGTTTATAATGTTTTTTGTAACATGAAAATGGATAGACAGAAATGTCAAAAAGAGTTTGTTCACTTTTTTCTATATATTTTTCATCTTATTTCTATTCGTTTGAAGTTTGTCTGAAATTTGTTTGTGAATATAAAAAAAGAAATGAAATGGAAATAGAAGGGGATTAAGATAGTTATGTACGTTATTGTCAAAGTTTCCCAAGTTTTTATTATATTTTCAACAGTTCAGGTCATAAGTCAATTGAAGCTAGGCCACCATGGAAAGCCTGGAAGCACTGGACGACCGTTTCGTTCTGTTGTGGGACTCCTTAGCAGACTTATAGGTCCTGGGTTCGAATCTCGCAGGAGGCGAGGTCGTGGAGGCGCACTGCTGAGTTCAGTGTAAACTATACTCGCTTACCTGAATGCAATCTTTTTCATCATTGATTCAAGAATAGTTCGATATTTCCTCGTAGTTTTACCGATAGAATAAAAGATAGTAAAAACAGTTAGAATATATACATTGATTTGATGTGTAACTGTATTACTATGATGCTTATATACATCCAAACTAGTGCAATGATATGTTTATTGTTCTTGCTATAATAAATTTGTAAAATACATTAGTATAAAATATATCGAGTAATGATCTACATCAAATAATCAACATAATATAACTACAGTTTTCAGTAATGATGTTAATTACAAAACATATTTAGGATAACTTATGATTTGAGTAGTATGTATTTTTATATCAGATGAAAGTATTTTGATGTGTTACAGTCAATTTTTTTTCTATAAAGAGAATATTAACTTTCATCATAGTAAAAAAGAATGAAACTTAGCTTAGTGAGATTTCTCATGAGATTATCATCTATACAAAGTTTTGATGAAGGGAATATATCAGTTGAAAGGATCATGTCTCCTAGTTATAAAATATATTGCTAATTTGCTAGTACATTTGGTCATTTCAGATGCTCAGCGTGACAAGATAAAACGTTGACATTAAGATGAACGGTAATCAAAAGGATCTTAGAAACAGAAATAAATCAGTTGAGGGTGAAAGGTCCATGGAGAAGAAAATAGGAGGGAAGGAGATGGCTATGAAAAAGGAGAAGAAATTATCAGAGATTATGATCGTAGTAGAAGTAGAGGTAGTAAAAGTTTTCTTGTTCACACAATCCTGGTTTCCCAAAATATATAACAAATGCTTTGGGAATGATAAAAAGACGTAGACTAACTGTCTTTGGCAGGTTTCTACTTGTCTTTTAGATGACTTTGAACGCAGTCCATTTTAATCGAATGACCTGTATCTACAAGGTGTTTTATTATAGAGCTCCTTTCAGTCAGCATTGAACGACTTATATACCTCGCTCCACATGAACAAGTAAATTGACAAATGCACATGAAACTGGTCAAATGAGATAATTTGTACTTAAGATTATTGCTGAACATTGATCGGTTGAAAAACATCAATCGCAAAGTTACTGCAAAGAACGTTCTTTTGAGAGAGTCGGAAATCCTTCTCTTGAGGATGTCTGAAACTGTACCATCTTTAAAATCGATGTTCATATAAAGAGGCTATTTGTGCTTTAGCTTTGAGTTTGATGTTCTTTTCAGTAAATAACGATGAGTATTGTATTTAGAAGGTTCAGTTCATTATCTATTACCTCTTGATTACAAATTCTTCGTACTAATGTAGTGAGGGATATAACTAAATTTTGATTTCGACTAATGATAACCACAAGAGTTTCCTGTAAACAGATTTTCCTGGAGTTTCATTGTCTTTTTTACATCAAGAAAGTGAATACTTAGTTTGTTTCTGAATTCCATACCAAAACATTTTTATATGACCGTTGATTTTCAAATTGATATAACTACAGACATCCTGAAGAGGAGAATTTTCAACTCTTTCAACAGAACGTTCGTTTTAGAAACTTTACTATTAGTGCTTAGCCCATTAATGCTCAGGGACCGTCTAAGTTAGAAGTAAATCTTAATAAGTTTTTGACTTATTTTATGACATTGTAGTGAATAACATTTGAAAATTTTCATCTTATATATATATATATATATATATATATATATATATACGGTAGTCGTAGCCTTAAGGCAACGGTCACTTCATTCTTTAACTAGATACGAAAAAGAAATTAACCTCATAAAAATTAATCAGATTCTGTTGTTTTTTTTTTATATTTCTTGATAGAACTCATTCATTCCTTCTTCTATTATTCATTTTTCTAATACGATCTACTAAGGCAAATAGCAGAGAGAAAGAGAGATAGAGAAAAAGAGGGATAGAAAGCGAGCGAGCGAGAGAGCAAGAGAGAGATAAAGAAACAACTGTTCATTTATTCTATGAATAATTAATCAGATTAGGAGAAAACGCGCATACGAAAAAAAAGAAGAAACAAGTCCCATCATCAATAATAATTGAAGAAAATATCAATTTATTAAACCAACCCTATTAATTCTAAGAAAATATAATATGAATAAAGTAAAAAGAAATAATCAAGAATTATATATATTTGATTTAAGTTATTATATCAAGATTTAATTCAATACAATTAATTATTTTGTTGTTTTTTTTTCTTAAATTTTCACTAAGAATAAATTGCCTAGAAACTATGAAAAAAAATCGATATCTAAAAACAAAATTTTGTTTATTAAAAAAAAAAGATTTTTCTATCAAATTCAATATTTTTTTTTCTCTATCATGGAATTAAGATTTTAGTGATAAAATGAATCAAATATTACACTAATCAATAATATTTAACCAAGTGATTTATATCTTAATAAATAATAATAATATTTATTTTTAAAAGGATAGTTACGAATAAGTTTGTGTCGTTAGGTAGTAACAAGAATAAAACTGGGGTAAAATGGTATTAATTTATATTAGAAAATAACATTTTGATTTGTAAAAGTTTATTTTTAAAAGTAGTATAATATGATTTTAGATAAAACTTACTCATTGCTGCATGAATATTTACATTTTAATGATAATGGATTATAAACATTATTCATATTTATTAATTGAGTTCAAACTAATATCGATGAATAACTGGATCATAGTTTATTGGATTAACTTAAATAAAATTTCATAGCAGTCATATTCAATCAATAAATTGATGATAGTTGAATATTGCTATCGATTAAATTCCAATATAGTACCTTAATGAAATCATTCACTCTGTGAGATTGTAATACTATGATGTTAGCCATTTCTAGTGTCACTAATGCATATTACTGATAATTCTTTAAAAAAAAATATAGATAAGAATGTCTTTGAGATATTTTTCACTGCTTTATCGTTTCTCAATTGATGTTAGCTTGTGAATGAAATTATCATAAGAAAAAATATATAAAGTGCTTCAAAAGAATTCGGTAAATTTTTAATATTATTACACCAATATAATGTATAAAAATATTTTGATCATTTAGATAAGACCATATGGTTTTATACTGTTAACTGAGTTAGTATTTTTAGAATCTCATGAGGTGGGATCATGGATACGTACCTCTGAGGAGTCACACAATAGGACGAAACGGCCGTTCAGTGCTTCCAGATTTTCCATGCTGGTCTAGCTTCAATTGACTCATGACCTCAACTATTGAAATTACTATCATACCCACAAAACCCCTCCTGATATTTTTAGAATTTTTTAAATCTATAGTTTAAAACTTATTTACTGTAGGAGATATTAGTTCATACTGAAAACATATTTCATTTTATAATGTATTTAATAGTCGAATATATCTTCATGATTGACTAAACTGGAAAACTGTTATCTAATAGAAGGAAAAAACGTATTTACAATCTAATCACTTATGAAATAAGACTCAATGTATGTGAACAAAAATTAATCAATTAAAAGTGTATTGTATTATATTTTTGCATGCAACATTAAAATGGTACTTTTTAAATTTCTAGAGATTAATAACAAGCACAGTAGATAATATTTAACTTATAAAACCAGTACATTTCAATTTTAATGGTGGAATTCATGAGTCACTCTAAATTAAACCACCACTGAGAACCTGGAGGCACTAGATGATCGTTTCGTCCTAGTATGGGACTGACTCACGAATACAACTGTTAAAATTACTATACTTATTCTGATACATTTCAACTTTGCATCATTGTTCAACTCTTTTACAAATTAATAAAAACATGTACTATTTTACTTAACATTACCATTATCCTTACTAACAGGAAGAGTTTAAGTTCAATTATACTGAAGTGTATATATTAGAACGAAACAGTATGTCATATTTGTATAAATGATTGAGTTGCCACATTTCACCACTAGCCGTTTGAAGTTGCATCTTAGAAGTATATATATGCTATATTTGACAGTAAATTCAAGATTAAATGGTGAAAATTATGTGGAAAATTTATTCCTTATGGATCTGTATAAATATTTTGTTTGTTTTCCTACTGAAATATAAATACAAGATAATGTAGTGCTCTCTGAGCTGGATGGTCTGGTCGTGTACAAAACTCCACCGAAATCATCTACTTGGGCTACAAATCTTCTTCACCATCTCAATAATGTAGTGCGAAGAACTATAGATGTTATTCTTTGTAAAATATCATTCTTAAAACTAGAGTACGGTTATTTTAATCATGATTGAATAATTATTGGTGTTATCTGCTAAACACCTACAAGAACTGATCAAGTTAAAGACCAAACGAAAAACCTCTACCTGTTTTGGTGAGCGTGACTCTACCTAGCCATTGAATTAAAATCCAGTGATCTACTGGTTCTTAACTAAAAAATATTCTCCGACAGATATTTTAGTTCACAAGAACAAAACCTATGATGATACAAATTTATTTTATAAAATCACTTTAATAATATTTCTATTATATTTGGTTATTATTAAATTACTATTTTCTATAATAATTAACTAACTGTAGTTGATTAATATTTGCTTATAACTTTTTTACATTTCAGAAGAGGATCGTCGTATATCTGGTGCAGTTGTAGTTGAAATTGAAAAACCAGCCAATGAAGATTTAGGAATTAGTTTAGCACCATGTCATGAAGTGAAAACTGGTCAAAATGCATTTTTCATTGATAATATCAGACAAGGAAGTATAGCCGATAGGTAAATCAATAAATTAAAATAGTATTATTTTAACATTTACTAACTGTTATAGATTTCCAAACTAATTAGCAGCAAGACTCTAATTTATGGAAGACCTTTGAACGAATCTCAAGTGACCTTGAGAAATATTAGCCAATCAGCAAACAGTCAGTATAGAGTAAAAAGATGTGCAAAACCAAGGAAATAAAGTGGATACACTTCTTATACGTGGTTCAAAAACTTGTCAAGATTAGAAAGAGGTTCAGAGGTTCTAAAATCCTAATGCATGCAGTGAAGGAAATCATCCATACGGCTACAGAATAGTCAGCCTCTGGAGCCATAATAAAGTCTCAAAACCTCCGGTTGTTGAGCGCACAAAATGCTACTTGTGGATAACGATACAATGCACATAACCAAGCCTATGTAGGAGTCTGTACACTCTCCAAACATCTGTATATATTGTAGTACCTGGCTTCAGCCAGTCTCACCGGTGCTTTTATTATCCAGCTCGCGACCATTGTCGTAATCTGCCTTAGTTAGGAATTATATATGGGGTTTTCATCACGAACTGACATCAGCTATAGTGCCAGAAGCTTATGGATAAAAGGCTTTGACGTTAAAATCCGAGTTCTATTATCTTATATCTGATTGATTCGTCCACAAATTATAGTCCCGCCGTTTTATTTGTTCTAGCCGCTCAATTATCACGTTTTGTACAAAATCCCCTGTGAACCGATCGTACGTTAGCACTAAGCACTGAAGTTGGTGCCGTAACCTTGAAATCTCTAAAACGCTTCTGATTGGCTCGTCCATAAATTAGAGTCTCGCCTAATTAGCATAAATACTTACATAATAATATTAATGGTCTATTTAATCATGATTGCTTTGGCTATACATTTAAAGTTTAATCTCTTATCTTAGATATTTATGTCAATAAACAGTAGGGTAACGTATTAATCCTTCTCTTCTCCACAGTATTATTTTACTCTACTTCTAACATTTCTATCATGTCCAAAATAAGTATCGCTGCATCGTCTTTTAACCTTTAACAATATATTATTAAACCATTTTATAAGCTTGCATATTAGCTTACATTCCAACGTAACAGTTAACAATGGTTTGGTGTAATACAGTTTATCGATTTAAACAATGATATTTTGCATAGTTCATATTATCTAATGTTTCACTTTCAGCCTATCTAACCTTTTAACAAAAGATTTTTTTATCAGAATTGTGCGTTAAAACATATACTATAGCTTGACAAACACTCTTCAAATATTAGTTTAACTATATATAAGCATAATGAATGCATAAACTAATGTTATATATATAATGAGCTAACAAATAGCCCTGTTTAATAAATTATGTAAGCTAATCAAAAATTGAATGCCAATAAAACATTATAGCAGATTAGGGCATATTTTGTATTCAGAAAAATGGAAGAATTCGTGTATACGGTATGAAAGTCCATGATATATCGGTTTAAAAAAATAATTGTAGATAACTTTCAAATCTTCGTTGTATTATTTATTTGTTACCTGTTTAAACACATAAACATTGGTACAAAGAGGCACGGAATACATATGTGCCACACAAGTCACTTGATTTGTGTATGTGCTATGATACTGCCCGTGTACCCAGACCGAAGCAGGAGATTTTCTTAATGGGCCACAACCGGACCATTTGGCCTAAATGTCTGATCCACAAGGCAGTGGAACAACCTAAGGAGATGCAGTTCAATGGTAACTGGTGACCAACGATTGGTTCATACGCCATTTGTTCCTTCAGGATACTGGAGCCAGCCCATATACACCATTGGTTTGGAATAAGGGTTTTCCAGCTCACCAGCTCCACCAACCCGGTTGAAGCACCGAAAATTCGCTTTTCGTCCTCTCAATTCCGTAAACAACAGTAATGTCACGAGAAGGCAGTGAGTAGGACTTCCCTGTCGGTGGTTGTATGCACGTGGCTATGTAAGAGCATTTGAGAGGGAGAGCTAACTATCCCCACTCTCGGCCGTGCCAGGGCATTTGGGGACATTAAATGTCACGAAAATCAATTAATTCATGATAATATTATTACTTGTGAGTACTTAATTAAATTATCAAGTACAAACTTATGTATACGGTGCTGAGATTTACTTTATGTATAAGAGCTAATAATATTACTTTATTGTCAAAACCAAAATAAGGAACGTTTGGCTTGACACTTCAACCTACTGATTTAAACCTAAGGAATTTAGACATCTAATCGCTAAATTGCTTACTAGTCATTACCAATAGTACTCTAGAACCAAACTTAATAACGCTGATGCTTTTCACCTTATCTCTAGTGTTACCAGTGGTACTTCAGTACAACATAACTTGCTGTAATTATCATACAAATAAGTTATAACAGTTTTCTTTATTTAAGTTAATAACTGGTTAAAAGTTTGACTTCTTTCATCATAGTTACTGGTTTAATACAGTTAACTGATTAGCTTACCCCTTATGAAGTGCATATACATAAATAAATACCACTTAAACTAATAGTTTTGTATTCCATGACAAAAGTCGAATATAACGCAGAAACATCTTTAAAAACGTTTTAAGAAAACCAACAAGTAATAAAAAAACGAAATACAGGCCAGTAATTGTCGAAAATAGTTCGTTTCTACAATATTTAATATTTGGTCTATACCGAGGGTAAGCATCCATTTGATTCTTCTGATAAAACGATTAAGATCTTCATTATTTATGCTTCATTCTAGACTTAGTTAGAAAAACGTGCTTATAATTGTATGCGCGATGAATTGTTGAACATTCAGATCTTAATGCAATGGTATCAGTATTGCACTACTTAGTCTGGGGAAAATATTTCACATTTTAACTTATAGTCACCTTGCGATTAAGTTAGATTGCATCTTAATATATTCTCTCTCTCTTCTAACTTGATTAATCAACTAATAATGTGCCCTTTACTCATGGAACTTTTTAAAATTTATTACTATTCAGAATATCATCCAACTGGACGTTTAGATTAATCTGTAAACAGTTTCATATAGAGTTTACATTAGTTCAAGAATCACAAGAAACTAGGATGTACCACATCGATGTTCCAACCTCTTTCGAAACTTCTCATCAATAAGCATTCACAAACTTACATAATATACTTAAGTGTTGTTTTCATCAAGATATGCATATATATATATACAATAAATTCATTTTGTATTTGCAAAGTTCATTTGCTAACGAAAACTTATGTCAAGTATAATTAAGTAGTTTGTTGATTTTTGGCTGGGATAAACAAAAAGAAAACGAAATTTCATTGTTTCTGTTTAGTTTGGAAATGAAAGATAAATTGGGTTTTTTTTAATTTTTTATTTCTTGTACTAGAACTAACAATCTAATATAAAAAAACTTCAACTTTTCTGTACTCATTTATTTATTTATTTATTATATTGAATTTCATTAATGAAATAATGAATCTAATTTATTCGGATTATATAAATTTGTCCTTAGTTAATAACAAACAATTCATTATATTTAAATAAAACAAGAATAAATATTAGTGCAGAATAGTATGAATTCATAATATTTCGAGGTTTCTCAATTATAACAGCTTCTGTCCTATGAGTTACATAAAGGGTATTGTACGAAACCTTTTGACCATACACGTAAAATCTGCTCAAAGGAATGCTTTGAAGAAGAAATTGCTGTAATCACTAATTGCCTACGTGAAAATGCATATCTGGATAAATTCATCCATAAATATGCAAATACCAACTCTCCGGTTAAGCATGATACAGTGTAAAAGAAAACGTGCTTCTTATACTTGCACTTCAAAGGAGATGAATTCGCTGGAATAATCAATCACAAAATAAATTCCGCGTTGAAGGTGACCTATCCAGCAGCTAAACTGACGACGTTATGGGAAACGAAGTGCTCACTAAAACAAACTAAAATCGACAAGTCCTCTTTTCTTAGTAGCTCCAACTGCATTCACCCATTCACATGTACGTGCCATAGTACATACATTGGAAGAACTGAGAGAAGAGTACATGTTTCGCATTTCTTAGCATGTTCCAAAGAAATTAAGGCTGCGAGGGACTAGGATTCTCAACAGTGCAATAGCTCGGCATTTACTTGACACCGGGCATACCATCGACATTCCGCACGCTTTTAAGATTATCAGTAGACAAAGAAATACGACTGCTCTCCGTTTTGCTGAAGCGATCGCGATAAAAGAAACTTAATCCGGATTTATGTATTCAAAAACAGGCAGTAGTAAACTCATTATTACCCTGGTAATCCATTTTTATCTTATTTTTATTGTTTTTTGGTTATTCGTGTTATTTTGTTCATTTATTTATTTTGAAATATTTGTTTTATGTTATATTCCTCCCCCATTACCGAATTCTTAAACCAACTTTTCATTTACACATTTCTGCCCACTTACCCTCTTAAATTATGTTAACTTTCCAAACTCTATTCACTTATTACGTAACCTATCTTACCACTGTTTAATTCCATAAACCCTTCACTACCTCTAAAATTATCACACAATTTATGAACTTCACTCAATTACTACACCACCCATCCTGAATTGTTTCCTTAATTCTAACACTAATTAACCTCTGACCTGTTCTTACATTTATACATATATATATATAGTTATTGTTGTAAACCTTTTCCATTCCAGTCATTTACATTCATTTATGTCAATAGTTTCACACTATTTCTTATCTCAATGTAAAATTCTATTACACATTTGGTTGTAAGTAGCTGACGAGAAACCTCGAAATATTATGAATTCATACTATTCTGCATCAATATTCGTTCTTGCTTTATTTAAATTCATAAAGGGAACTAATCGCATGAAATTCATTATATACTTACATTTGTGTTATTTCTTTATATTTTTATGGATTTTCCTATTTAGCATTACATACAGTTGTAGATTAAATGTATTCTGTATGGATTGTCTCGATATTGCCTTAAGTCATAATCTTTGTAAACAAAGGTGGCTAGTGGCTAGCAGTG